GAGGCCGAGGTCCTTTCTGCGCTTGTCGCGGTGGCTTCCCGCTGAGGTACTTCGGGACGAGGCTGCCGCTAATCAGCGCTGAGGGCGAGGGGCGCCCGGGGGGTCGGCCGCGGGCCCCCTCCCGCGTTTGAGGCCTTTGTCTGTTAGCTTGTCTGGGAAATGGAGGCCTTTCTTTTTGTGCGCTCATTCGGTATAAAGAAAAGTTATAATTATTTAGTGTCATCACACCGCTTTTCTTGCGGGTTTAACATAAACGGGTTTGTGCTGGGCTGGAGCTTAGCACTTAAAAAACAAAAAAACTTGGAAGCAAAAATAGCAGCTGTGAGCTGTCCGCGGCTTTGTGTGGTGCTGGTGTTGTTCCGTTATCCAAAGAAATGCGAACTCTCCAGGAACGCTGTTATGGTTCAGTCAGAGCTGGGAAAGAGCTGCAGAAAAAGTAACAAGACAAGCTGTGAGGTTGTACCGGGGGAGACTCTCAAAGGACTTCTGAGAGCTCACACCTGCCTTTCTGACAGCGAAGCTGCGCGCTGGAAGGCTGTCGGCAGCCGTGGTTCTGGTAGAAAAATATACGCTGGCTTGTCTTGACAGAAACTGTGGTTCATGAATTTATTTAATTTTACTTGAATGTAATTTTCCTGAGTTTTTTTTTGGAGCACATTTTCTGTCTGTCAGGTGGCTCCTGAGGCCTGAAACCTAATCACAGTGTTGTTCAGAAAAGTACTTTTTCCAGATTTAAAAAAAAATACGTGAGTTTGTTTCTGACTGGATACAGAACAAGTTATATAGTTGCAAAAGCCCTAATGAGTTACAGTCTAATTCATATATAATAGAAATAAACAGATTTGGTAAATAAACAAAGCTTTAAGGGTTATACTGTCAAGTTTTCCTCTGTTCTCAGTAACTGTCATGTTTACTGAAGTCAAATTAAGTCAGAGGTGTAGCGGTCATAGCTTACCTTTCTCCAGAGTCATGACTTCTGAAAATGAGTATAAAGGGGAGATGTGCGTAAGCATCCCCTTTGCTGGAGAAGCAGCAGGGTTATCCTTTCCTCCTCGTTGTTCCGTTAGGCAGCAGTCAGCTACTCGGGCGCTGTGTCCTGCCGTTGATCGTACACGACTCCTTAGCTCCTAACCGGTCGTGGTCTGGGGTGCCATGGAGAGAGGGGAATAGGAGGGAGGGTCCTGGGG